ATATTATACGTGTATCTTACGTTTTAGTAACATCTTATAAGTAGATTTGCTAAATTATATTTTTTCTTATGTCTTTAAAAAAATTTAACTTTATAAAATATTTTTTTATTTTCCTGGAAAAGGAAGATTATAAGCTTTATAGCTTTATACATTTATAGCTTCATGATCTCTCCTTATTAGGAAAATGAAAAATTATTTTTTAAAATAAACGTTAGATACTTCACATCTGTGGTCAAATCGATATTCTTCGAGAATGGTTGTCAAAAGTTTTTTCCAAAAATTCGGATTCGATGAACACAATTACTATGCGATCTTTGATCATAAAGCACCAGCGCATTATAGTATTTGCAGAAAATATCGAGACTCTTTATACGTATATTGCATTGATGATGCTCTTATCAGACACGATAATTATATGTTGTTTAGGATTCATTATCGTCATCGTAAGTAATGTTCAAAGTAATATTCCATTATTACAATATCAAATATTGTGTAACGAGTCAAAAAGCTATTGATAATTATTAATACTAAAGATGTTTGAAATTATACATTTGTGTGTGTGTGTGTGTGTGTGTGTGTGTTGTGTGTGTGTGTGTGTGTGTGTGTATGTGCAACTAGCACATATTAAATTACAATACTATATATATAAGTTCCTTAGTTGACAAATGGCACAAATCCCCTTTCTTAATATTATATTAATTGTAAGTGGATTTTTATATAATAATTTTACAAAAAAATTAAGAACAGAATGTAATTTTATTGTAAGAAAATAAATTGAAAGAATAGTATTTATGATAATAACTTAAATATATAATTTAAACGTTAAAAAACTAGACTTAAATCACTATTTCAGATATTTTTACGGTCACTTTATTTATGATGTAAAAATTTGATTTTTATTTTTTATGAACATAAAAACAAAATACAAGTAAATTAAATTGATAGGTAAAACAAACATTCTTAATACTTTCTATAATAAACGCATTTCTTGACTTACTGCCATTTGTCAACTGAGGGGCTTATATACAAGTATGGAAATTTTCGATAGTCACTCGATACACCGAATGCCGCAGCGATTTTGGTGAAATCTGTATTATTTTACATCTCGATGAACCTCGAGGCATTCATATACTGCTTCTGTGGCGAATATCTTAGCGCCAAGGTCAGTATCAAGAGTAAAATGACAGTTTTATTAATTTATAAATATCTCGAATTCTTCCTTTTTCAGAGCAAAATGATTGGAAATGCGATGTACAATTCTCTCTGGTACGATTTTTCAGCCAAAGAAGGTCGAATTATACTATTTCTTATTCTAAGATCACAAAAAAGATTAACGATCACGAGTGGAAAAGTCGTCGATCTTTCCTTGGAGCGATTTACCAGTGTAAGATTTAACTTGTCATAAATTTTTTGCATTTCTTATAATGCAAAACTCGAATATCTCCTACAGACTATACACATGTCTAGAAAGTAATGATAAATCTTTCGTAGGGGCAGAATGGACTAAATTGAGAAGAAAAGTCCTCTACCATTTTACGATTTTAGTAATATTTAATAAGATATTCATTGCTAAAAATTGTCGAAAATTGGTCTTTAATAATTTTTTACTTAAATACTATCAATTTTACAAAAAAAACTGCAAGAGACAAAAATTGTTTATTTTCTTCTCATAAAATTTTGAAAATTTTTTCAGAATTTTTTAATACCGTATTTTCTCATGTTGTTAAAAATAAGAAAATGTAATCCTAAAAAGTTAATAAAAAATTCTCAAAAAATTTTTAAAGCTTTTTAGTCCATTCTGGCCATATGCAAAAGATTCATATATCATTACTTTCCTGTATATACAAATATTATTTTTTAAAGATTTTGATTAATATCGAAGTGTTTGTTCTTTTGTTATACAATCGTAACAATACACATTGAATTAAAATAAAACTATTCTTATTTCTTTATATTAATTAAATAGTAATTTTAACTGCAATTAGCATAACAATGTTCATAATTTCTTATTATATTACATAAATTATTTTCTATAGCTTCCATTCGTTATTATATTATTATTTAATTATATTTCTTTTCATATTATTATATTGATTAATTTTTAACATTTCGTACATTTGCATATAATCAAACAATGATATTCCAGGTAGTAAAAGCATCGTTGTCATATATATCGGTTCTATTGGCAATGTACTGAAGATAAGTAATGTATTGATATTATAATAATAATATGAAACATAATAGTGCGCAGAAAGTAGAATTTAGTAATATGAAAATAAATGTATAAGATTTGTTCTAAATATTATTATTATTCCATTTTCGTTCCATTTTATTCCATTTTACGATTTGCACTTTTTATCGCACAAGGAAAAGATAATATAATAGTAAATTATGATGAAATATTTTTCTTGTTTTGACGGATACCTTCATGATACCATTAAGATAAAGTCAACTAGAGTTCTTTTTTCTAATACTTTTTGTTTGTTCACCTAGCTATGAAAAGACGGTACTGAAAATCTTTAGCAATTTCTCTTGGCATTTTCAGTTTGCATTTTCAAATCTTGAATTACTTTTCATAGCTGTCATGCACAATTTCGCATCTGACGTTGGCGTTTTATCAAAATGGTTTTTTCTTTTTTTATTACATAATTTTTCTTCTTTTCTGTATAATCTTAAATTTATATATCCATTTTATCAAAAAGAAGTTTAAATTCAGTAACGTAAAATAGAAAGAGAGAGAGGTATTACAGTAGACAACATTTTATAATATGTACATTTTGTAAAAATAGTCATCACTCAAAACCGATAAACTTTGTACTTTTTTGCCAGACATTCTGGCATGTACTGCCGTCTTCATTGTGCTTCTTTCAATTTGCGACTATTTGCAACATGAGCTATAAGTTTCGTGCAAAGCTCGTTCCGGAGAAATATACCCTCGGAGATATATTTACGTCCTTCTCTGTTTATTCCCAAGCGAAACTTTCGCCTTCATAGCGAGCAATTCTTGGAAGCTGCGCTCCACCTTTCCTTTGCTTATTAAATTTTTAAAAAGAATGTATAGCTGTATCATGATCGAAAGTTTGAAAGAAGGGGACTCTCCCTATATCGTCCATATATTCATTAAATAACAATTTCAGTTTGTTTCCTCTTTTTTTATACAATGTAACAGAAATATTTAATAAGTTATGATTGGTCAATGGTCGATGACACGAATCATGGGGTATCTTCGGTTGTCAACCCGCGAACAAGATTTAGTATGAATAAAGTTATTCGACGACGTATCGCAATTGATTTGCGTCAAAGAGAAATATGGGGATGACTACGATTAGTCGATTGATTAAATTCGGTCTTCACATTTACGGTGTATGGCCATATGTATCGTCCACTATAGTGTTCAGATTGTATTGGATCATAATGCTAAGTATGGCCCAAGTCTTTCAATACGGATACGTAATAATGAACATTCATATGGATGACTTTTCCGAGTACATGGACGGAGTGAGCAGTGCAATGACATCTTCTTTACTTTACATTAAACTTGTTATTCTTTGGACCAATCAAAGGTAGGACGTATTTGTAAAATAACGTACATAAATCCTGTTACCCGATCTCATGATTGATTAACATTTGTCGAAATTATCCATCAAAAATATTGAATAACAGGCTTTTGAGGTTTTCATGTTTTCTTGAAAGAAGCTATGTTATCGCTGTATCTTGATATATCATTAAATGGTAATGTTCACGAAATATAGCATAATAATTTATCAAGACACAGAAATATAGTCCGCAAATTGCGTAGCTTTTTTGTATCGAATAATAATCAATTGATTTCTCATTTAATTTAATTTATTTGTTTAAGATCTGCGAATATACGCATAAGTATATATTAACGAATGATTGTTTTTTTTGACACTTTAATGAAATATATTTTTGAAATTAATTCAATTTTGTAACAACCATGAAACAGATATTAACGCGAAGGGTGCACCTCCCGTAGAATATTTTTTGATGTACTACAAATGATGTCTGAGGATTGGCAAGTTCATACTTCGAATTGTTATAACTCACGCATAATGACGGATATGGCTAATGTTGCACGTCGCACCTCGAGATGGATTGTTGGCATGCAAATCGGCTCCGCAACTTTCTACAGTGTCGGCGTACTCGCCGCTAATGCAAATAGTCCCGAGAAATTAGAGCCATATGCGCGAGAACTTATTCTGAAAATGGAGTTCCCATTCAATATTAGTACAGATTTTATTTACGCAACTGTTCAAACGGTTCAATTTTATCATCTATTTTTAGTCGCCTGCGGTATTACGATTATTAACTCACTTCTCGTCACTTTGGTAAGTTCGAATTCGAATCGATGCGCCTACTCAAAATTAAATACAAGGTAAATTATACAATTTTTTAAATTAGAGATTTCATGTTAGATAAGATCGTGAGTAATCATTATGCATACAAACATTTTGTTTTAATAACATTTTACAAGTATATAAAATAATTTGTTAAATTTTGTCTTTAAAAAATAATTTTTTTAATTAAAAATTTTTTTAATTAAAAAAAATAATGTTTCATATTCCTGAGAAAGAGATTATAAAACTATAAATCTTAGATACTTCATATCTGCGGTCAAATAGACATTCTTCGAGAATGGTTGAAAAAAATCTTTTCCAAAAATTCGGCGGATTTAATGGATGAAATTACAATGAAATCATTGATTACAAAACATCAGCGCATTATAGTATTTGCAGATAACATCGAGATGCTTTACACGTACATCGCAATGATGATGCTTTTATCAGACACGATCATTATATGTTGTTTAGGATTTATTATAGCCACCGTAAGTAATAGGTCTAAAATGACATTCGATTACCTATTGTGCGAATATTACATATCCAGTCAGAAAAAAGTAATAATTATTAATATTTAAGACGTATGAAACTATCATACACATGTATGTGCAGCTAACTCATATTAAATTATTATTGTACGGAAATTTTAGTCGCTTGACACACCCAATGCTGCAGCTATTTTGGTAAAATCTGTATTATTCTACATCTCGATGAACGTTGAGGCATTTATATATTGCTTCTGCGGTGAACATCTAAGCGCTAAGGTCAATATCAAGAGAAAAATGATAGTTTTATTAATTCACTGACATATCGAATGTACATCTCTTATTTTTTCTTTTCAGAGCAAAATGATTGGAAGTGCGGCGTATGATTCTCTCTGGTACGATTTTTCAGCTAAAGAAAGTCAAACTGTACTGTTTCTTATTCTGAGATCACAAAAAAGATTAACAATCACTAGTGGAAAAATCATCGACCTTTCTTTAGAACGATTCACCAGTGTAAGATTTTACTTGTAATATTTCTTTTTAGTATTTGTCGATCTGTTAAATTCGAATATTTCTAACATATCTTATTATAATATATTTTTTTGAAGATTTTGATTAATATTAAAACAGAAATTTGCTCTCTTATGTAAAAATAACATATATTTGTTTGAAATAGAATTCACTATTCTTATTCCTTCGTATTAATTAAATAATAATTTGAACTCTAGATATTGGCATAATGATGTTCACATCCTATTATATTATACATAACTATATATAACTTTGTTATGCTACTATTACTTGATTATAAATTTTTTTTATATTATTGTATTATTTAATTTTTAAATATTACGTGTATATGTTATTATGATCATAAACAATAATATTTTAGGTAATAAAGGCATCATTGTCATATATGTCGGTGTTAATAGCAATGTATTCAAGATAAATAATATATTCGTAATTAATATGAATATGAAACAATAATGCTGAAAGTAGAATTTAATAACAAAAATAAATATATAAAATTTGTTTAAAACGTTATTTCAATTTCTTTTTATTTGTACTTTCTCTTGTCCAAGAAAAGTTTATTATAATCATTAGCACGAGGCCAAAAATTATTATTTTTTTGTTTTGATATTCTTTGAGATTATTAAGACAAAATCAACTCGAATTTTTTTTTTTTAGCTTTAGTTTGTTCATCTACAATGAAAAAGCGGTACTGAAAAACTTTCGCTTTCTCTTGGCACTTTTAGTTCGCATCCTCAAGTCTTGAATTATTTTTTATAACTGTCGCGCACAACTTCGTATCCAACAATCGTGCTTCATCAAACTGTATTTTTTCTTACTACATAATCTTGAATTTATATCTTCAGTTTGATCAGAAAGAAGTTTATACTCAATAGTACGAAGTAGATATTACAGTAGATAATATTTTATGGCATAATACATTTTGACAATGGAAAAAGAATCACTAAAAATCGTACTATCATTTTTGTCTTGTTTCTTCCAATTTTCTTCTACAACAAGCTATATGCTTTGCACAAAACGTTCCGGAGAAACATCCCTGGCGATATGTTTATGTCCTCCTCTGTTTACACACCTTCAACAGCGAAACTTTTCAACTTCGCCTCGTGCAGTCATGGAAGCTGCACTCCCAAGGTTGTTGCATTTTTAAAGAAGACACGTGGTAGCATTGTCCGTGGTCAGAAACTTGACTATACGGAGGGAGAAGTGGTACCTCTAACTTTTTTTACGTACCAAAACCTGTGATCGTCGATGAAATCGTTGGACGTGGTGCGTCAAAGTTTGTGATATGTGGTGATAGAATATTTATCAAGTGTCCGATTGGTCGATGTTTAGCGACATAAGGCTATGATTTTCTTGAAAGCTCCGCCTCTCCAGATTTTTTCTGCGAGCAAAATTGTCTGGTGGCACACGTACACCTGATTCTCGGTTCGTTTTCTGTTGTTTACGGAAAATATAGAGATGAGTACGATCAGTCGCGCGGTAAAGATCTGTCTTCACGCCTACGGTATCTGGCCATATCTATCATCAACCGTTTTATTTCGATTATTTTGGATTGTGATGTATGGCACAGTTCAATTTTTTCAATATCATTACATAGCAATACATTTTTACACTGATAGTTTCTCCGATTTTATGGATGGTGTAAGCAGTGCCATGACATACAGTTTATTATTCATCAGACTCAGTATTTTATGGGCGAATCAACAGTAAGATAAATATTATAAATTTAATTCTTTATCTTTTCGTATTATAGCTTAAAATGTTTAAATAATGAATATTTAAATAATGAATTGTATGAATGATTAGAAAGATACAAGATTACGTATAAAATCTATCTTATCTTGTGCAAATGATATAACTTGACACATACGTGCAGATAATATTATTTTCTTATACATTTCATACTTAGTTTACTAATTGTTTAATTTATTAGCAATATTTACTTACCTGAAAAATGTAAATGATATTAACTGACACGTCTAATTCTTTTTAGAATATTCTCTGACATATTGCAAATGATGGCCATGGATTGGAAGAATTGCGTTTTAACTGATTGCAGTTTGCGCATCACGATCAACAAAGCCAAACTCTCACACCGCATCTCAAATTGGATTATCGGTCTTCAACTGGTTGCCGTAACTTTGTACAGTTGCGGCGTGCTTGCTGCTAACATTGGTAATGTTCAAAGAATGAATGTGTCCGCGCGGGAACACATCTTGAAGTTGAAGCTGCCATTCCAGATTGATACGTTTCCTATTTACGTGTGCGTTACAATCCTCGAATTTTTTCATATAATAACTTGCGGCTGTGGAATTTCCACAGTAAATTCGCTCATCATCACTTTGGTAAGTTCGTGATGTCATTTAATAACGTAGAATTATGTAATGATCGTGATTCCTATCATTTAAGACAATATTTTAGATACTGCACATTGGTGGTCAAGTTGATATCCTTTACGATTGGTTACTGAAAGTTTTTTCTAAAAATACGATGAATACCGTGAACAGGATAACGATGAAAACATTGATAATAAAGCATCAACAGATAATCATGTTTTCGGAGAACATTGAAAATCTTTATACGTACATAGCGCTAATGCTGTTTGTGTCGGACATTATCATTATATGCTGTCTAGGATTCATTATTATCACCGTGAGTAACGTTGGAAAACATCACGTTATAGATCACAAATTTTATTAAAATATAGATTATTTAAAATAATTGTGTATATATCAAAATTATTTTTAATTTTACGCATATATATTATTCGTATCATAAAACAAGACAAAATATTTCTAAATTACTACGTTCGAGATTACAGTCAATTGGTACACCTGGCGGAGCAGCAATTTTGGTGAAGTCAATACTTTATTACATTATGATGAATCTCGAGGCATTTATATATTGTTTCGCCGGTGAATATTTGAATGCCAAGGTTAGCGTTAAGTCCTGTTAATTGATTTTAATTAATATACAAAAATTCAAAATTAATTTTTTCTTTCTAGAGTAAACTGATTGGAGATGCGGCTTACAATTCTCTTTGGTACGATATCACAATCGAAAAAAAACGAATGATATTGTTCATGATTTTAAGATCACAAAAACGATTGACCATCACAATTGGAAAAATTATGGATCTCTCTTTAGAACGATTTGCTAGTGTAAGATTTCTATATAAATTTCAATATAAATTTTAGAGACATTTAGCAGATCCGACAGATTTACATAAAATATATTAAAAAAATTTTCTTAACACTAAAATATTAACATTAAATTAAATATATTTTTTACGTAATTATTAAAAATTGAAAAAAAAATACAATATAATTTTTAAAATTAATTTTGTTTAACTGATTTATTATTAATATTTATAATATCATGCATTTATACATACTTAATACGTTACAATCAATAATATTATAGATTGTGAAGGTATCGGCATCATATATTTCCGTCCTATTAGCGATGAACTAAATATTTGAAAAACTGAATATCGACATAATATTATGATAGTACCATAATAGTGAGTTGAAGAGGAGCATAAAATAATAGTATAAAATCATAAAATAGTATAAAATTAGTAATAAAAAAATCTTAATAGTATCAAGAAAATTATTATTATTTTTGTGTAGTATTTTAAATAATATTGCAATTATTTCTAATATAATAAAATTAAATTTTTTTCTTCCCTTTCTTCTTATATTATTTTAGATTTTCGTAACGTTCAAGTAATATTATAATGCCTAAATAGACTTTATTAAGAAAGATTGAGAAGGTAAGCTTTTTGCATTTTCCAGTGTTTTTACAGCTTAGCATAAGTATTATGTCTTACTTGTCGTTTGCGAGAAATCGTTGCTACTGCAATATAAAACTTTACTCAGTATTTCGTCTTCTGCTTCTAGCTTTCTTCTTCATGATTATTGCACGTAACATGTACGTAATATGAGAGTTTCAGCCAAAATTGTGCGTTTATATATTTCAAGAGAATAAGTTGCAAACGCATTCGCACTTATATTCCGCAAGAAAAAATACTGGAGAAATAAAATCTTGGAAAAAGAAGCATCTCTTTCGCTTCCATCTCTCCTCTTCTTAAAAAAATACTTCCCTATTCATGGAAATATAACTTAATAATAAAATTTTTATTGTGGTGACCGAGAGTTTAATGACCTGGGTACGTTTGCATGTTGCTGTCTCCCTTATCTGCTGCTGCATGAATTTTTAAAGAAAATAACGCACAATTCCACTATTTCTCCAGAGAATTTGAAAGGGAGAGAATTAACTACCCGGAAATTTCTTTTTTCTTATCGACAATATTGCACGCAATCTGTGCATGTAGCGATTAAAATATTTAATAAGCCATGCCTCATAGGAAGGTCCCACCATTCGCGATCTCTTCCGAGTTCTTAGTTTGTATAAAGACACTATATCATACATGTCGTATAGTTAATTAGATGTTATTTATAACACTGTTAAAAATTCTTTCATTGAAAGCTATGTATAAATAGTGTAAAATAGAGAACTAATAATATCAGAAATATAAAAATAAAGAATAATAAAAATGTGTCAGCCAAATAATAGAAATTTGTTTTCGAATTTTTGGTATTTGGTCAAATATGTTGTAATTCGTTGTATAGATTATTCTGGATTGTATCGCTCATATTTGAACAATACCGATAGTTATTCAATACCGATACGTCATAAGGCATTTCCGTTTGATGAAATTGTTTGAGATAATAATTGTTTTGGGTAATGCCGTATACGAGATTTTTAATTAAACTTGTTTTTTTTTTGGTATAAACGCTGAGATATGCAGTGATATAACTCATAATAATAATGCACTATCAGTGAAAAATTTGTTTTAGATATTATTTAATTTAATTATATTTAACTACACTATTCAGTCACATTAAGTTAGTGATGTCAAATTTAACAATTACTGTGACAAGTAAAATAAATTATTTAACAATTGCAAATATGAACAATGAAATAAAGAAAAATTTTTAATGAATAGCTGTAATAATAAATTAATTATTATATGTAAAAGGAAAAAACAGATACTCATCGATATAATCACTGCACTGTATAACGATAAATTTTTCATCGATGATTCGTATAACACTTCGTTTCCAGTCATTATAATGATTATGACCAATAAAAACCATTTGTAGAATTTTCAACAAGATATTAACAATAATGGCGATTGACTGGAAAAAATATTCTAACACAAAATTCAATTCGTTACGACATGTAGTGCCAAACTGTCGGAGCGTTTCGCCAATGATGATTCTTCATTCGACAACTGTAATTTTTTTTTTAGTAGCAGGGTTCTCCTAAAACATGCGGATGACATCAAAGCTTCCAATGTTTTTACACGATTGTTCATTCTTGAGATGGATCTGTCGTTTGATGCTAACTAAAGATCATGTATGAATTAATCGTAATTACTCAATTTGTTTACTTGCTGTTGTGTGTCGACAGAAACTGTGTATTAAATGCTCTATTCATAAATCTGGTAAGTCTTGCGAGACGCAAACAATATTATTATAATTATTAATCTAAAAGTTTCTTGAAATTTTATTAACCAATCATTTGATGTCAATTGATGGAATGTACAATGGTTTACAGAAATGATGAAATGGTTTACAATTTTCGATTTGTTTCCGATTTGTTTCTAAATGCAATCTCTTCGAAGAGAGGTTCGTATTTATAAATATAATCATGTACTCATACTTTTAACAAGCAAGACTAAATTCCGAATCCCATCGAAAGAAAGTGTTGTAATCTTTCTGTGAGCTATTGTACATATAATATTGTGTTTATCTATATGATAAAAAATAATTAATAGACAATTTTGAGTTATGCTGCTTCTTAAATTTTGACGATTTTAAAATTTTGTGTAGCCTAAATTGAATTCAAGCATTAAAATATCTTTTTTGACTTCCATTAAGTGACTGTTGAGAGAAATGTATATTTTAGACATTGCATATAGGCGAACATCGATATTCTTCGAGAAGGTTTAAAAAAACTTTTTCCGAAGAAAGAAAAGTATAATTCGAGTCATCACGATAAAAGAACTAACCGAGAAACCCCAGAAGATCATCATTTCAGAGCACATCGAAGATCTGTACACATATGTTGCGATGATGCTGTTTGTAACAGATATTATGATTACCTGCTGGTTAAGTTTCACTATTGCTGCGATAATCAGTTTTGATTAATTTTATGATAAACAGAGTTACAGAAACTGTTGTCGAATTTCAACAACGTGTTGTTGTAGATCAGAAAAGCATTAATTCTTTTAATTATTACTTTAATTATTTTTATTACTTTAATTATTTTTAATTATTCATTACTTTTACACTTTTCATTGCTCTTAGGATGTTTCTTAATATTCCAGTCAACCAGATGTTACAAAATATCTAATCAGAAATTTATTATTTTATATTGTTGTAAATGTGGAAGCGTTCGTATATTATTTTACTGGAGAATATTTAAGCGCTAAGGTTAGATATTGAAACCATTATATTTTTCACAATAAATAGCAGAATATCACGTAATTGATTTGTATATGAAAAAAACTACAAGATCTATTATTCAATAGAGCAAAAATATCGGAGATGTTGCTTATGCTTTCCTCTAATACGGAAAATTTTAAAGAAATTATATATCGAAACAATCGAATTATATTGTTTTTGATAACGTGTGGTCGCAAAGTCAAGTAACCATTACAATTGGAAGGATAATGAATTTGTCTTAGGAAAAATTTACCAGTGTAAGTTTATTTTTGCTTTTTACGTATAGCTATTTAGCATAAATTTTTGGTAAAAGATTATTTTATCCATGATTAACTGTGTTAAATAATATATAAAAAGTATGTTTGCCCTTTTTGAAATATAAAAGTAAAATATTATTACCAATTAAATTAAAATATTTTTATAAATTAATCATAGACACGCACGCGCGCGCGCGCGCGCTCACACACACACACACACAAATACACACATACACACATACAGATACGCACATACAGATTGTAACTAAAAGGGGACAAACTTTGCTGAGTTTCCACCTTACCTAATTCAAGACAAAACATGATTCAACTTCGCCAACTTTTGGTATAGCCAGGATATAGTCTCTCCAACATTCCAGATGTAGTCCCATGTGACTTTTGATTATTTCTAAGTTGAAGAAAAATCCTGAATAAAGTGACATGAATGAGCAGGTGAAATCTGACGCAGTTTTCAACACTCACGATTGCGCATTGTTTTCAACTGAACAATTGTTTTGTCGTATCACTCTGTAAGAACTCTCTATAATGTACTCTCTATAATAACAGTAAATTATTATTATGGAAATTATAATTATTGTTATTTTTGTGTGGTATTTTGAATAATATTACAATTATTTCTAATATAATCAAATAAAATTATTTCTTTTTCATATCAAATATTACTTAAAATTTTTGCAAGATTCAAGTGAGATTATAATGCCTAAACAGACTTTTCTGAAAAATCAATGAGGTTTTCGCATTTTACGATGTTTTTTATAACATATAAGCTTTGCTTGTCATTTGCTAGAAACGCCGTCGCGCCATTGCTACTAGAATATAAAACTTCACTCAGCATTTCGCTCTTTTTCTTCTGTTTCTAGTTTACTTTTTCATTGATTATTACGTGCAACATGTATCTGCACAAGAGTTTCATCTAAAATCGTGAGATTTATATATTTCAAGAGAATAAGTTGCGAACGCATTTCCCATAATTTGTGAGGAAAAATATCTTTTGATATCGGGGAAATAAAATCATCGAAAAAGAAATGCTTCTCTCTTTGCTTTTTTTTTCTTCAAAAAATTCTCCTCCATTTATGGAAAACTTTTCTTATGGTCACCGAGGTTTAATGTCCTTGGTACGTTTGTCTGTCCTATCTATTGCTGCTTGAATTTTTAAAGAAAATAACGCTTTACTATTCCACCCGAGAATTTGAGAGAGATAAGGTCGACTACCCGGAAAACCTTTTTTTTTTATCGACAATACTGCACGCAATCTGTGCATGTTGCGATCAAAATATTTAATAAGCTTTGCTTCATAGGATGAGCTACCACCCATGTATTTTTCTAAGCTCTCAGAATGTACAGAGACACTACAGCATATACATCGAATAATTAATTAGATTTCCTTAGATCATTCATAACACAGTTAAAAATTCCCTTGTCGGAATCAATACATGTAAATAGTGTAAAACAATAGGAAAATAATAATATTAAAAATATGGAAGTAAAGAATACTGTTAGCAAAGTGATAGAAATTTGGTTTCGAATTTTTGGCATTTGGCCGAATATGTCGTGTGTTTCTTTGTGTAGACTATTCTGGACTGTTTCGATCATAATCGAGCAAATTTTTCAATATCAATACATCCTAATGCGTTTCCATTTGATTGAGTTTACCGAGATAATGCATATTTTGGGTTCAACAATGACGTATACAATATTTTTAATTAAACTTGTCATTTTTTGGTGTAAACAGCGGTGAGATATGCAGTAGTGAAGCTCATAATAATATGCACTATCAGTGAAAAATTTGTTTTAAATATTATTTATTTTAATTATATTTAACTACCTTATTTAGACAAGTAAAATGAACTATTTAGCAATTACAAACAATATAATAAAGCAAAATTTAAAATAAATTGCTGTAATAAATTAATTAATACTATATGTAAAAGGAAAATAAAAGCATCGATGAAGTTATTGTACAACAATAAAGTTTTCATCGATGGTTCGCGTAACGCTTCATTGCGACTATTGTCACGATTATGACCAATAAAAATCATTTGTAGAACTTTCAACAGGATATTAACAATGATGACGATCGACTGGAAAAAATATTCTGGCACAAAATTCAATATGTTCGCGACATACAATGCCAAACTGTCGCAACGCTTCGCTAACATGACGGTAATTCTTTATTCGACAGCTGTAATATTTTTTAGTAGCAAGGTTTTCGTAAAGCCTGTGGATGATGGCAACGCTTCCACACGGTTGCTCATTCTAGAGATGGATCTACCATTTAACGCTAATCGAAGATTCGTATATGAATCAGTCATAATTACTCAATTTGTTAATTTGCTACTGTGTGCCGACGCAAACTGTTTAATAAATGCTTTTCTCATAAATCTGGTAAGTTTTGCAGGACATAAAAGATATATTATCATTGTCCATAGAAGTCAATTTTTTGAAATTTTATTAACCAATCAATTGAAGTCAATTGAAATGTACAATGGATCACAGAAAGGATACAATATTTTTTTTCGATTGATTTCTAAATGCAATCTGTTCTCACCGGAGAGTTCTTTCTTATGTGTCTAATTATTTACATTCAAGCGCTCTACAAACAAAACTGAATTCCAAAACCTATTGAAAAAAAATGTTGCAACTTTTCTATGACTCATTGTACATATATGTATCTATTATCTATATGATTAAAAATAGTTAATAGATAATTTTAACTTATGCTGCTTCTTAAATTTTGAAAATTTTAAGTAAATTTTGTGTAGTGTCTAAATTGTCTAAATTGAATTCAAGCATTAAAATATATTTTTTTCACGACTACCATTAAGTGATTACCATTAAGTTGAGAAGGATATATATTTTAGATATTGCATATAGGCGGACAAATCGATATTCTTCGAGAAGGATTAAAGAAAATTTTTCCGAAGAATGGAAAGTGTAATCCGAGTCATTTTACGATAAAGAAGATAATTAAGAAGCATCAAAAGATCATCACATTTTCAGAACACATCGAAGATCTGTACACGTATATTGCAGTGGTACTATTCGTATCAGATACTCTGATTATCTGCTGCTTAGGTTTTACAATTGTTGCGGTAAGCAACTTCGATTTCTTGACAAAGGATATAATAATCACTATTGAATTTATGTAGATTAAGAAAGCACTAATTCGTATTCATTACTTTCCCACTTTTCCATTGCTCTTAGGACATTTCTTAATGTTCCAGTCGATCGATCAACCCAATGCTACGAAAAGTATAATCAGAAATTTCTTATTTTATGTCGTTATAAATGTGGAAGCGTTTGTATATTGTTTCGCTGGAGAATATTTGAGCGCTAAGGTTAGATATTGGAACCAATATATTGTTCATGACAAATAAGAGAATATTACGAAATTGATTTTGTATATAAAAGCTACAAGATCCATTATTTAATAGAGCAAAGGTATTGGAGATGCTGCATACGCTTCCCACTGGTATGAATCAGATTCTAGAGACAGTCGAATTATATTGTCCTTGATAATGAGATCACAAAATCAATTAACCATTACAATAGGAAAGATAATGAATTTATCTTTGGAACAATATAGTACTGTAAGTTTATCTCAGCAAGTTATCTTGCTTTATATATAAAACTTTTTAGCATAAATTTTATGTTAAAAATTATTTTTAAAAAATCTGTTTTAAATAACAAATAAAATTTGTTGCAATATTTATATGCAATTTATATTGTAATACATTATTAAAAGAAATGAAGTAACAAATAGAATTTAAATATTTTCTACATTAATCTTTTTTAATAATTATAATAATAATTATAATAATTATAATAATACTCTTACAGATTGTAAAAGCTTCAGCTTCTTATATATCGGTCCTCCTTGCAATGTATTGAGAGAGGCGAAACTACATTCTATTAAAAAAAAAATTTTAATTATTTTTAACAACTGGTAGTTTGATTAGTAGCAACAAATTTGCACATAAATTAAAAGAAACAAAAGTGACGTTCTATTATTACTTGTTACCTGTTACATTTCCTTTCATGTCATACATTTACATGCATGTATGCATCGTTGTTGCACTCATATGTGTCTCATACGGAAGTTAGAATAAACTTGAGCAGTCAGGCAGTGGATCGATAATGTCGGGATACGCAGTGTTTATTAAATGTGATCGAACAATGCAACCCCGTGCTATTTTTTCCTTTTGCCTGGCATTGTTCGCTCCACTTTCCAAGTCCCTACAATTTTTCTCTTATATTTATTAGAATCAAAGGTTATGAGTCTTAACCAGATGATAATTGTTGGAAATTAATCTAAAATTTAACTAAAAGTACATAAGAATAATCAAATAAAATATAAATAAAAAATATATGTTTCAACGGGTCATCTTCAATGTACAATCTTTAAAAAAACAAACAAACTTTGCGATTTGATTGTTGTATATATAACATAAATATAGCAGTTTAATAACATATTTCTTTTCAAATTTTATGTACTGTTATGAAAATTTAACCGTTCTTCTTCTTCTAAAATATTTCACATCCATATCTCTAATGTTCTATATTCTTCTCCATATTTCAATTAATATAGACAGTAATGCAATTTTAGTTCACTCATTGCAATTTTATGATTAAAGGCATTTTCCGTATCTATATTCAATTAATTGTTGACTAAGCAATTGTATAATTTAAATTCATTTCAACTATAACTTATTTATACCTTTAAGTGTCCAATAATTCCAAATTGCAAAAAATTTATAATCCACAAAGATATTAATATAGAATAAATCATGTAAGAACGTTAACTTTTTAAAGATTCAACCAATGATTATGGAATAGAAGCAAAGGTATTATGTAAAAGGAGATGTAGTGAAAAGAGAAGTGGACAGAAAGAAAGGAGACCAATTAGGAAGGAGACCAGTTAGGAAGACAATGATTGTAAGATCGCAAGGTATGAATCGGAAAGAGATTCCGTGTTACTCTACCTGTTCAATCCATTATGTTGTTTTTTTATGTTAACATCTCTGAAATCAATCTTTTACTATAAGATGGTTCATTATCTAATATCTTAATCTTATCCCATTTAAAATTATGATCATATTTCAAGCGGTGATTGGAAATTAGTTCTTTTATTAATTTCATTTGCATGTTCATGTATTCTAGTTTTCAATTTTCTTTTAGTCTGGCCCATATATGTACTTTGCCACACGGAACAACAAAAAAATTGCGATCTAATGATTAGTACTTTACAGTATCTTATGCTAGAATCTTCTCCGAATCTTTTATTCCAATCGCATTTGGCATTAATAGAAGGACAGTCTTTATCATCCCTAACCTTTTATAAAAGTACATCACTCATGGTAAAGATGTTTTAGATTATATGTCGCATCAAGAAGTAATATATATAAGATTTCTTATCATGATTGTAATGCGATTGTGGGCCAGACTAAAAGAAAATTGAAAACTAGAATGTTGTATATCTTGGTAAGAGTACTCCTTAAGATCCTCACTAAGTACGGAATATTTATTTTCCACAATAAAATATTTTTTATAACTAAAAAACTGTGAATAAGGTAGTAATTTGAATGTTTAAATTACATACCATTGACATACTTATTTAAAAAACATATCTAATGCTTAATTATTTCAATTATCACTAAAAGTAGACTAACTAGTAGACTAAAAACAACTTATCTAATAATTTCATTTGTGTTATACGAAAAACATATGTGTGTTTGGCGGCCGAGTACAAATTAGTGTATTGAACATATTCTGTTCTACGCTTATGCAAACATAGACATATGCTTTTTGGTTATTAAAATATTTGCACGTGTTTATCTCCAGGCTCGACTAATCCCTCTATGTGAGCGCGCGCGCGCGTGTGTGTGTGTGTGTGTGTGTGTGTGTGTGCGTGTGTGTGTGTATTCTACATTATTTTTTTATATATTAATTAATAAGAAATAATATTTATTGCAATATTCACATTATTATATATTATTAAGATAAGTCAAATGCTAAACAAAATATTTTGTTTACACAAACATTGAATTTAAATATTGTATTTCTACATATATTGACATTTTATAATAATCAAATATTATTCTTATAAAGATTATAAAAGGTTCAGTCTCCTATACATTCGTCCTACTTGCAATGTATTGAAATGGAATTACATTCTATTTACATTGTTAACAGTTATTGTTAATAATTATTGTTTAGTTATAAAAAAATGATATATTAATAATAACAAAAACCATTGCAGAATTACATTTTCTTTCACTTATCTTGTATGCATATACATTGATCGAGAGTAAGAATCATACATTTGAGAATCAGGTGATGGATAACTCAAGATACGCAATATTAAATAATGTCGAACAATATAGTTCCGTGTTTTTTCCTCCCGCATTAATATTGTCCCCCTAATATTGTTCGCACTTTGTTCTTGACAATTAAATTTTATTTTTATTTTCCAACGGTACTCCATTCGACTGTATTGTATGTACTTGCTGCCCGCATGGCTGTTTGCTTTTTTAAGTTTCATGATTTGATACTATCATGGTATCCTGATCATAGAAAGATCATAAAATAAAGAAAGAAGGAGAGAAAATGGATAAAAGGGGAAAAAATTTTTTATACTTGCTGTTCCTTTTTATAATACCGTAGTTCTAATCGAGTTCTTATGATATCAAAAGTATATTTAATGAGAAATCCCTCTCAATCAATTGCATATAATACGCTTTAGCGTTGTAATTTTTAACAAGCTTCGCTCCTTGATCAAACATACAGAGCTTGCAAACATTTGATGTTTTAGAATATGATAAATGTTATAGAATATAATAAATAAGCTGTTTCCAATTATAAAAATGTCCGTGAATAGTGAGTTTGTCTACAGAATTTGTTTTCTTTGACATCTGACAAGACGTGTCGTGTACCTACTTATTATTTTGCATGTATCGTCTAGGTTTTTCATTTTTAATTGTAATTCAAAACGTCATTATGCTTACTTTGTATTGCACAATTGTATCAATAAGCTGTGGATTTGATTAATAATTTGAGCAACTTTTTAACATACATCCATTTCTTCAAATTGATTATATCATCTAAATCTATCAATGATGAATCAATCTTAGGTTATTGCACAAGAAAGCGACTATTTTGTAAATCTAGTACTAAATATTAAACTAGTACTAAAAGTTAAACATTAAACTAAAGTATATAAAATCAGTATATAAAAAATAAAAAAATCTCTGTAGTATTAAAAAATTAGTATTAAAAACAATAGTATTAAAAAATTATAATTATTGTTATTTTTGTATAATTCTTTGAATAATATGACAATTATTTCTATGTAATCAAATAAAATTATTTCTTTTTCTACCTCTTCTTCGTATAATCAAATATTACTTAGAATTTTTATAACGTTCAAGTAAAATTATAATGCCTAAACAGTCTTTTCTTAAAAATTAACGTGAGCTTTTTGCATTTAATATTTTTTTACAATTTATAAATTTATCATTTGCCAGGAACGCCGATGCGCCATTGCTACTGGAATATAAAAAACTTTACTCAATCGATCTTCTGCTTCTAGTTTACTTTTTCATGATTACTGCGAGCAACATGTATCTAATATGCACAAGAGTTTCATCCAAAATCGTGCGATTTACATATTTCAGGAGAACAAGTTGCGAACGCAGTCGCATTTACCATAATTTGCGAGGAAAAATATCTTTTGATATTGAGGAAATAAAATTTCTTCGAAAGAAAAACGCCTCTCTCTTATGTTTCTTTCTTCTTCAAAAAATTCTCCCCCATTTACGGAAACACAAAACTTTTCTTATGGTCACAGAGGTTTAATGTTCTTTGTACGTTTGCATGTTGTTGTCCTATCTGTTGTTGCTTGAATTTTTAAAGAAAATAATGGCGCACTGCGCCATACTTCACTGTTCTGCCCAAGAATTTGAGAGAGATAAGGACTACCCAGAAACTTCTTCTTTCTTATCGACAATGCTGCACACAGTCTATGCAAGTTACGATCAAAATATTTAATAAACTTTACTTCATAGGAGGGTGCTACCACTTATGTTTTCTTCTAAGCTCTCAGTATGTATAGAGACACTACAGCATACACATCGAATAATTAATTAGATGTCATTTATAACACCGTTAAAAATTCCCTTGGCGGAATCAATACGTGTAAACAGTGTAAAATAATAGGAAAATAATAATATTAAAAATATGAAAGTGAAGAATACTGTTAGCAAAGTGATAGAAATTTGGTTTCGAATTTTTGGCATTTGGCCGAATATGTCGTGTGTTTCTTTGTGTAGACTATTCTGGACTATCTCGATTATAATCGAGCAAATTTTTCAATATCGATATATCTTAATGCGTTTCCATTCGATTGAATTTTCCGAGTTAATGCATATTTTGGGTTCAGCAATGACATATACGATATTGTTAATTAAACTTGTCATTTTTTGGTGTAAACAGCGGTGAGATAGATACGCAGCAGTAAAGCTCATAGTAATATGCACTATCAGTGAAAAATTTGTTTTAAATATTATTTATTTTAATTATATTTAACTAACAAGTAAGTTATTCTGACACATTAAGTTAGTGATTTAACTCTATTTAACAATTACTCTGACAAATAAAATAAATTATTTAGCAATTGCAAACATGAACAATGTAATAAAGTAAAATTTAAAATAAATTGTTGTAATAAATTAATTACTCTATGCAAAAGAGAAATAAAAGCAGATACGCATCAGTGAAGTCATTGTACAACGATAAATTTTTCATCGATGGTTCGCGTAACGCTTCATTGTGACTATTGTCACGATTATGACCAATAAAAATCATTTGTAGAACTTTCAACAGGATATTAACAA